GGCCTCCGGCCACGTGATTTTACTATTATTCTGTGGAATACACCGTATCCACCGATATCCATTAAATAACAAGTATATACTCAGTCATCGTAAATTAGCCAAGCGAGTTAAGATTGATAGTAAAGACCCACGAATACACGGTAGTTTGGGTAACTCCGTGACAATAATTTTTTTAAAAGTATATACTTATTTAAATATTTAAATAACTATTTACTGGTAAATATTTATAAAAGAAGTTAATTTTATATTTATTTTTCTGATTCGAAATTTAAATCAGAAAATTAGTTTTTTAAACACTCATTTATTTTCGAAATAAGTTAATTCTGAAACTTCCAATATTAAAATTTAAAGAGCCCAATTTTTATGTTCTTATAATATGCTAAAATATACGTAGATATCTTTTTTACTTTTTAATAACCTTTATATGCAATTTATATCAATATCCAATTTGACTTACTGTATTACGTTGAATATTATAATAATTCTAAACAATTTATCTAGCTTATACTGTAATAGTTTGATTTTTTCAATTTAGCTTTTTAACAAGTATATGTAGGCAAGGTGCAACAAATGGTGCAAAAGGAGAAATTGTCAAATTTTCAAAAGAAATTTTTCTACAGTACATAAATCAAGATTAGGGCTATTTTTCACTTAAGACACAAAAGTAGTTGTATTGAAACATTTACAGTATAGCCCTTTAAAGTTTTTATTTCTTATGATTTATTATAAAACTACGAACTTTTTTTGTTGATTTCCCTCTTTGTAGTCCATATGTATGGCGAACAATACATATAACATTAATTACATCGATGTTCTCCAAAAATAAATGCTTACCTAGAGGAATTTAATGTTAACTATGTCAGTATAGGATAAATTTTAAAAAAGCACCTCATTTTGATATGGGTTTGAATCGTGTGTTAATTAATTAATTGTCACTTATTAATTGATAAATTTTAAAATGTAAAAGGTCATTTATCGTATAGCATTGCTTATAGAATTCTATTAAATAATACATCCATGTTTGATACTTAGATGCTAAATGGAATTCTATAAATCAAACCCAGTTTTTTTTCAAAAATCTATAAATTATAATACAATAATTATCTTGTTATCTGAATAATTTAAAATATCCAGATAGAAAATTTCTGGTTTCCTTTAAACTTTTTAGTAACTTAAAATTAGCCATTCATTATAAATCTAGTGCTATATTTATAAGTTATTATTGTCCGGCAGTTGTTACTGCCATATGTATTTGATCATATTAAATAAATAACGTAACTCTAGAATGATATAAACTCGTAATTTTGTTTTTCCCTTAATTTTTATATGTATAAATTTTTTAATTTTATCAATTATTTATAGCATATTGGGTTTAAAACAGAATAAAAAAAGAAAAATAACCGTACAAATATGATCAAAATTTGGTATGGCAGTAACAACATGGCCGTATAATAATAGATTGTACTATATAATATAAGAAATTATTCATTAACTTTTATTACATCTAAACTAGATAAAAAAAAACAGGTTAAATCATTTTTTCGTCGATTAAAGCAGGTAATTGTCCATAAGTACATTATAACCTCGATATAACGAACCAAAAGTGGATATTTTTTTCAGCTAGAATTTTAATCGAATTACAATTTGTTTGTAAGAAAATTACCTTGATATAAAAATTACATTGATAAAAGGAAATATTTATAGTATAACGAAACTTTCGTGTAACACTATCAATTAATTTTTATATTGGAACACATCATACAAAGAATGGTTTATAAATATATATATATATATTCGTGATATTATTTGTAAACCGAATATTTTATAAGACCCTGATATGTTGGAATATAGATATAACGAGGTAAAACCTTCAGCTTCAGAGCTTCGATACATAGAGGTTATACTGTAGTTTTCATAGATTTTGCGTTCGACTAATATTAAATTAATTTAGACAAGCTGATTATAGTAGATTTCTGCCCGACCATAAAAAACATGATTTTAATTGGCTGATACTAAATAAGGTGGCTGCGCTATGTTGTCACGCAAAACTAGTAATGTTTGGGTAGTATTCGAAACTGCATGCAATATTTTTTACTGAGAGGTATGGATTTAGTACTTTAAAAGCATAAAAAATTGGTGTATTTAAATGTGACAATCAATCAGGAATATGTTACCATTATGCATTAATAATCCAAATAGGAAAATCAAAGTTCGGAAAGAGATTTCCATTATCGTTATCGTTATACAAATTAGGAAGAACTATAAATAAAATTTGGAATAATTAGGAATGGTTATATAAACTGTACACAAATAAACCCCAACAAAATAAAAGATAACCGAAATCAATTGCCCGGGTAACTTATTTATACAAGTTAAAGTAATTTCTAGCGTCAAAGAGCATCTATATTCGCTACGCAATAATAATAAAAAATAATCTGTAATCTCAATAAATTCACAGAAATAAGTGGTTTGTTATTTATAAGTTTCGCTTGCTTTATAATTTATTTGATTTGATTGGCCAACAATCACATTTTGTTCAACATAAATTGGTCAATCATATAAATACCTTCGAGTGAAAGAAAATATACAAATAAAACTATGAAAATCTGCGTTTATACCACGGGCATGATAAATCAGATTCCACACCATTTAAAACTACGTCCAACAGAATTCCGTATTTGCACGCGTCATTTAAATCTTAAGATAATTATACATTTCGTTTCATTCCGTTACTGGTTGCTACGTAAAACTTTATAGTATGTGTGCGCATTTGTTTGGGCTGCCTGTCGCACGAACACTCAATAGATTAAATTTAAGAAATCTCCGAAACTAATTCAATAAGGATAAAATTCTTTTTTTATGTTGGTAATTTGTCCAATGTCTAAAATACCTTTAATGAAAATTGGCATTATAGTCACAATATTATGTACATTACTAAGTTATTAAATAGAATATCCTGCTGATGAAATACATTCTCTAACGTATTACTTATTGCCAATTATAGGCCAAATAAATAGTAATAATTATAATATTTCATCAGTAATATAACAGAGTAGCGGCCTTCATATATTCAATGCAGCAAGTTATCCAAATGGACCAATAATCTTACGATTAATTCGTGATGGTGAAAATAACTCTTATGAACCTTACTTGCACCTAAGGTTAATATACCCAAATATTATGGCCATCAACATTAGTACAAATAATATCAATATAACTGCGATTCCTACTTTTAATTTTTGCCCGATTGCAACTAATCCTCCACGTGATCTGATTCGTATTTTTCCCTTGTCATATAATCATACCATGATCGCATTTTTGCAAAATAATACTGAGTATGGTCCAGAAACACATGAAGAAATTGGAAAGTTTATTGATTGGAGCGGGAATGTTATCCAGTAAGAAGGCGTGTCCTTTTTTTTTATGTATATTAATTTATATTCAGTATTAATTCTAACCTACATGCAATCTTGAATTCGCATAATGTAACAACTATCTATTGTACAATCTAATAAAGAGAACTGAGCCTTGGATATATTAATTTTACTACAAGCGATACATCATCACGGGTACATTAGTGTTTTATTCTTCTCAGAAATATGGATTTATATGGGTTAACCATGTGTCTCAAAAAAAAACTACATAAAATGAAAAAGATGGTTAGGATTAGGATTTGATTGGAACAATTTAGCTTCTATTAGTGTTAAAATTTTTTTAATTAGGTTACAAAACTTTTTGGTATTGTTCAAGTTTTAAAATCAAAATTCATCGATTTGAAATTGTTGTTAACCAGTCATGCACATAGTGCACCCTGCACCAAAATAAATGCTCTTTTAAAAAAAATCCGAACCTAGTTTCCTGTAGGTTTTATTTTGGGTACTACACGTTTAATATACATGATTTTCTTTCCACCCACAAATCATATTTATATGTAAATTTATTTACTTATTACTCTCAAAAGAATCTATTACTATCTTCACTATCATCAGAAATTTCTATATGTGCAATAGATTTACTTAATTCTTTGCGTGTTAATGATCTTACTTGTATACATGTGGCCTGCATGTTTTGGTGAATTAAATGGAATTTCACTAATTATTTTGTCAGATTCCAAAAACTGTCTTGTAATTTCGTCCACATAATCTAAGCCTTTTATTTTATCAAGCCAATAAATAATTTGCTTTTTGATTTGGTTTATGTCGTCTGTACCTTTTATTTTGTCAAGCCAATAATTATTAATTTCTTTTACATTATCTGAACCTTTTATCTTATTAAGCAAATGTTTAATTTGTTTTTTAATTTCGTCTACATCATTCGGAGCTTTTATTTTATCAAGACAATAACTAATTTCATGTTTTTTAATTTCATTTACTTTATCCAAGACTTTGATTTCATCAAGCCAATTAAGCCAATCACGTTCTATAATCTTGTCTATGCTAACTGAACCTTTTTTATCGAGCCAATATTTAATTTTATGGTTTATAATCTTATTTATGTTATCTGGACCATTTATTTTATCAAGCCAATCACTAAGCTGCTTTTTAATTTCATCCACGTCTTTTGAACCTTTTATTTTATCAAGATTTATAATTTCTTCATCATTCAAAACTTTTATTTCATCGAACCAACATTTAATTTTATATTTTAAAATTTCGTTAACGTTATCTGAAACTTTTACTTCATCAATCTAACGATTAATTTGATGTCTTATAAATAAATTTACAGAATCTGAACTAATCCAATCTTTCAATCGTTTTATAATTTCGCCTACATTGTCTAAATTGTCTAAAGCTTTTATTTCATCAAGCCAACATTTAATATTAATTTTGTCTGGACCTCAACCCAACATTTAATTTTATGTTTTATGATTTCGTTTACATAATATGAGCCTCTTGTTTTATCAAGTTGATCATTAATTTGTTTTTTAATTACGTCTACATTTTCTGAAGCATCTATTTCATCAAGCCAATATTTAAGTCGGTTTATAATTTCGTCTACATTATCTGAAACTGTTATTTCATCAAGCCAGCATTTAATTTTATATTTTGAAAATTCGTTTGCGTCCTCTGAATCTTTTAATTCAAGCAGATCGTTAATTTGTTTTTTAATTTCGTCTACGTCCTCTGAATCATTTATTTTATTATCATACCAATATTTAAGTTGGTTTATAATTTCTTCTATATTATCTGAATCTTTATTTTAACCCGCAAATAATCAATTTCACGTTTTTTAACTTCGTCTAAGTTTATTTTATCAATTCCATATTTAATTTTACGTTTTATAACTTCATGTACGTAATCTGAACCTTTTATTTTGTCAAGCCAATCATTAAATTCATTAAAAATATTATAGGCAGTAGGTCGTATTTGCGGATTTGAATTTGTGCATTGCTTTGATAATTCGATATAGCAATTAGGAGTTTTATCTGCGAATTCTGGACGTAATCCTTGAACCCAAATTTTTATTGCAAGATCAACATTAAATATATACTAATACCCATCAAAAGGTCTTTGCCTGGTCGACATTTCTGACATAATAATACCAAAGCTGTAAATATCCGCTTTTGATGTAAATTGTTCGCCTGATAAAACTTCCGGAGCAACATAGGGCATGACTCCATAAATATTGCCTTTTGAGACTTTTTCATCCTCCTTTATTGATAGTCCTAGGTCTGATATGTAAGATCGCATACTTTATCTAGTAAAATATTACCACTGTGAAGGTCTCTATGAATATATCCTGATAATGAAGGTCGCGTAACTCTTCTGAAATACTGACAAATAGTTTTAATTTAGTCTGCCATGTAAGTTTCTTAAATTTTGACTTTAAAAATTGGTGAAGATTTCCACTATCGGCATACTAAGCTACCATCATGTATTCATTAGATCTTGTATTTTGAGTTAAGCCATAAACTTTAAGTTTTATACCCATTAAACTGCATCTTATGTGATTATTGAACTTGTAAATTTATATGAATGAATTAATAATTATCGTCATATCTTAATACTGGAATTGTTAATGCTGAAATTTGATCCATTTAATATTGTATAAAATTAAAAAATTTGAGGTAAAATTGTTCAGTTTTTTAAGTATATCAAACTTAAGATTAGGTTGTTAATAGGAAAGTATAAATGGATTTTAATCACATCGTATGTTCAAATTGAAATCCAAATTTCAGCATTAACTAATTTCAGTGTGACAATTATAGATCTAACTTACTTCTTTCAATCTGAAATCAAAACTAGGCAATGTTTTAAGTGCAACTTCACTAGATGGTTCGCGTGTCCTGACATAACGCCCATCAGCATAATCAAATTTTCGTATGCCATCCAACCAGGAGGTTGCTAAATATACGGAGCCAAATCCTCCTTCATCAATTTTTCGAATATTATCTAGTCTTTTAAATGGAATCCATTCAATTACCTTTGTATATGCTAAGGCTTTAAGTTGAAATTCTTTAATGCAATTATCAACATCCTTATTTCCACTTGTCCATATTTGAGTTTCATTATAGGAATCGCATGTTTGGCACCATGCTTCGCTTGTGTTATTTTTATTACAACGTTTGCATATTCCATAACCTAAATAAAAATATATTTTTTAGTATAAAATATTGTAATAGATTAATTGAATAAAGTACCTTTAAGTCCACCCGCTATTATTTGTGTATTAATAATTTTCGAAGTATATATATGATCTGGATGACTTGGTAAGGTAATTGGTAAAGTTTTAATTAATTTATCTGCACCCAAGAATTGCCTTTTAATTTTATTTTTTTTATCCGAACTTTCTATACTTTTATTCCATTCTTTAAGTATCCAACAAACTTTCCGAGCATTAGGCCGATTATTTGGATTCAAATCCATGCATTGCTTAGCTAATTCAATATAGCATTCAGGAGTTCCAATTGCAAATTTAGGATGTAATCCATTGCAAATACTTAGCGCGAGTTCAGTATTAAATTGATAACCGTCAAAAGGTCTTTGTCCAGTTGACATCTCTGACATGATAACGCCAAAACCATAAATATCAGCAGCTTGTGTAAACTTTTGACCCGATAAGACTTCTGGAGCAACATAAGGCATAACTCCATTAACACCCTCTAGTTCATTTTTGTCGGTCTCTTTAGACAATCCTAGATCTGAGATGTAAAATTGTGCATTCTCATCAATGCATTGGTCTTGCAAAATGTTACCACTATGAAAATCAGCGTAAATGTATCCTGCATAACTATGAATATTAAATAATTCATTTGAAATAACTTTAAGTATTTGTAATTTAGTTTGCCATGTAAGTTTACTAAAGTTCTTTTTCAAATATTTATTAAGACTTCCATTGTTAGCATATTGAAATACCATCAAGTATTCATTTGTTTTTGTATTTTGTGTTATTTCATATATTGCGAGCTTACTATTATTTAGTTTACATTTCATAAGACATTTAAACTTAAAGTTTAAACAATGAATTAGTTCAACAAGCTTTAATAAATTATTAGGCAATAAATTAACTTACTTCTTTTAAAAAATTAAAATTGTCTTCTTTAGAGCTGGCCAATGCTTTGAGTGCAACGATACTATTTGGTCACGTGATCGTTTATACTTATTATTTTTAATTGGTACAATTTTTCGTATGCCATCCAACCAGGTTCCTGAACATATAGAACCAAATTCACCTTTACCAATTTCTTTAACATCAGATAACCTATTAAATGGAATCCATTCTATCGCATCTTCATATGCAAGAATTCTAATTTGGAATGCTTTCACGCAATCATCAATATTCTTATTTCTACTTGTCCACCTTGTTGCTATGTCAGGGTCGCATGACAGACACCATGCTTGTTTCGTATTATCTTCATTACAATGTGCACAATTTTTATATTCAGATCGTCTATATAACAATAATAATAGATATGTATTTATTCATTATGTTTTTAACTTATATCGAACATAAATAATTTTTATACTCACCGACTAAATTATACGAATGAATGATTTGTACGCAATAGTAATTAGTATTTATGTTCTTGTTTTGTGACCTTTTTTTGCGGCTTTTATTTCTAGAAATTATTAAATGTTCTTTATACTTACAGACTAAATTAATGTGAATGAAATGATTTATAAGTATTTATATTCTTGTTTGTGAGCTTGTGCTGTTCTTATTTTTAGAAGGTGTTAAATATTCTTTATACTCACATGCTAAATTAAATTATTTGTACGAAATGGTAAATAAGCAGCTACATTCTTGTTTTAGTGAACATGTTTTGCTGTTTTTATTTTTAGAAAATATCAAATATTCTTTATACACACCCACTGAATTAATGCGAATTAAATGATTTGTAAATATTGGTAAACAAGTATTTATGCTCTTGTTTCGTGAATGTTTTGCTGCTTTTATTTCTA